TGGACCACCAGTTACTCGGCTCTGATGTAGAACAACAAGTGGTAATTTCTTTGACGGGCTGATCTGACGCATTTGATTCACAACTCTCGCAATCTCCAAACAACCAAAAACACCGATGTGAGTCATTTGTATATGCTGCTCAAAAATATGCTAAGACACATAGGAATATATGCAGTAAAAAAAAAAAAATTCATTTTTACCTCAGGGAAACTGAATTTATGTTGATTAGCAAACCCCAAATTCGCACCATCGATCACAGCATCAAATGGACCACGCTGTCGAAGCCACTCCTGAAACCAATTATTCAGCATTACACTTAAAAATCATATTCCTCAACCAAAGTGTTGAAGCGTGTAAAAAGTAGGAAGCCTTTGCAATGAGAACTCTTTTTCGGAAGAACTTTTTTTTTTTAAAATCGCATTACTCGACTAGCAAAATTGTAAGCTACAACTAATCAATTTCTTAAAAATATTAATAAGGACAAGCATGCATGCACGCACATTGATGCAGACTCTTAGAAAACAGAAGCATGCTAACATTTACCCTCAAATAGGGATATATTAAGTATCTATTTCTAAAAGACTTTGAGTCGTTGAGCAACACTTCAACAACAAATTTAAACGTGCAGCTACAAGCATTTGACCAGTTTATAAAAACTTAAAAACTAACCTAAAGCTTACGACAATGCTAATTTCATCAATTCAAAGTTGAAACATACCCAAATATGGAATGAGAAATGCATTCTGACAGATATACACAAGTACATGTTAAAACTAACCATATAAAATAACTTCTACAAAAGTCATCACCACAATAACATAATTTGTCGTAAAAGCACAAAAGCAAGACCTCAAAGAAACAACCACGAAAACAAGCCGATACCTGGAATTTCACAAAGTTTGTCCCAGCTTCTTTCTGACAGGCCAATTTTGATAGCGACTTTGCAAAATTCTCCGTCTCTTCCGGATCAATATCGATACAGACAAGCCTCTCCCCACACGACCTGCACACACCTCTCTCGTCCATGCTCGTCCTCATCACTCTCCAACTCCCCTTTCCCAACCACCCTTGCCCATGCCACCCGCCCCCACCATCCAAAACCCCTTCCCTCACTTTAGACGCATCCCATTTCTCATTCCCAACTCTAGCAGCCTTATTAGACCTAAACCAGTCTTCCACCACAGCCGCAGTCTCCTCCGACACTTGCCTCACTGTCGACCTCAACCTGTGCATCATTTCATACACTTTCCCCTCTCTCTCAGTTTCAGAACTAACTCTGAGAAGAGCACAGAGCTCGGTCTCCTCGGGGGATACCCCACATTCCTTCATGTGTGAGTCCACCTCATACGCCTTGTCAGCAAGACCTTTCCCGCAGAACTCAAACAATGCGGGCCCGTAAGACCGTAGCTTCGGAGCTATCCCTTGATCCTTCATCTGTCTGACCAAATCGAAAGCCAGTTGAGGATCTTTCTTAGCGGCCGCCAGCCTCGAGACATTGGTAAACGTGGCTTCATTCGGTACCACCTTGTCAAT